TTTCATAAATTAAAATGCCCCGGTCTCCTTTTGCTTGATGTCAACAGAATCGTACAATAAATGGAAATATGGAGCTTTTACACATGTCTTGGTAAATTATATTTTGATTTCACAATCAATACATGTACAGACAGCAATCTGCTGCGTTGGCTTGACGAAAGTATTTAATAAATTAGCTTAATGTATATAAACCAAATATCAAAACGACACACAAAGTCTAATGATATTAGCGATTTTCGGCTGTCAAAATTATTTCAATTCTTACTCACATGTAAGATCACGTAAAGCATTATTTACAAAAATAATTTATCAAAAGTACTTTGTCGTATAGCAACGCTGCAAACCTAAAGAGTTCGGCCAAAGAACTTGAATTTACGCCACAATTAGCCACGGTCGAGTCATGTAGAGTGGAGGATTACGAATCCCATAAAAGTGTTAGTTACACGTTATGCATTGACGCCAAATGGAATAATCTTAATCTTTACTAAATATGATCTCCATCGTAAAATATCTTTATGTTCTTGACACCTCGAATAAAGTTAGCCTTCTTTGTTATTCCGATCTTTATTTATTTCCTTTAGTTGAACCTTTCTTGGTAGCATAAAACGTGGTGAGTTTAACCACCTTTTTGTAAATCTTTGCCTTGTTTTAATATTTGTTTATCACATACCAAAGGGCAATGTTTCCGGTATACCTTCAGGGAAGAAGGAATCTTTCCGGAAGGATTTTGGATATAATATTGGCCCTAGATGGGATCAATGAGTAGAAGTAATTCACAAGGTGTTATTCAAACTACAGTAGTTGAATGTACAAAATGTCTATTTATATTTGGGCTGTATATATTTTACATGTGCGATATATACGGATTACAACTACATTTAGGATTCATAAAAGTGTTAACAAAAACACCGAACTCCAAAGTAAATTGAAAAATTGATAAGTCCATAAAACCTGTTCAAATCAAGCGTTAGACTATATCAACCAACGGAAAGAATGGAAAACAACTGTTGGAACAGGCATTTTTCGAAGAAAATGGTGGTTTGACCCGTTTTGACAAATTTAGAATTGACAAAGACGCCAACAAAAAGTTCACGTAGTTTATAGTACATACAGTATAATAAATACATCTGACAAAGACGCAAATATAATTGCGATTTGTTTAAGCTACAATTGGGATGTAAAGATATAGATGCGATATATTGCTTTGTATAACTACATTTAGGATGACTGTATAAATGCATGTACGATGCATGAATAAATTGAAGACGCATCAATAAATTTTGGATGTATTTATGCACATTGTGAGAGCCTGAATCGCTCACCTGGTATGCCATTTTAATATTAATAATTAGCTTTATTGCAACAAAATTAAACACATACATTAACCTTGAACTCGAAAGTCAAATCTATTACTAATGCTTTAATTTATCCTGTAACTGGCTTTGAAGTCCCAACTTATGTTTCAAACTAGAATGAATTTCATAACAGTATGGACATGGACACCTGATATTCAAATGATATCGTGTCGTTCACTGGCTGTCGACAACAAAGACTTCATGCAATTACAGTATGTCAGGGGCCTCTAAATGGGGACATACACAATTACTATTTTACACATGTCCATTCATCAAATTATTTTTTTTGCATGAAAGTTTATAGAAATTTTTTTTGAATATATTTATATACTCACAGCAAAAAGTTTCTTTTGAAAGAATGAGTATATTCAGAGGTGATATCACCATGTAATCGAGAGAAAAAAATTCTTTTCTGGCAATTAGTGAAAAATTAAGTAGTGTGTCAGTTATAGACAAGTAGTCCATCATGCATTGCAAATCATTCAATGGATTGGTCAATCGCCAAAATAAAAAAAAAATATTTGTAAACAAACACTAATACATGCATTGACGAGGGCATACTTATGCTAAATAATACATTCCCGTATAAGGAAATGTACCCGACCTATTAAATGCAGCTGTTCTGTTGATTTGAAAAACGAATGGACGGATCACAGCAATTTAATTTAAAATTGTACCTAATTTTTTTTAATTTGTGTTTCAGTATCTATCCATGAATTAAATACGTTCACAACCCCTTTTATACTAAAATTATTAAACGAGTGCACCCAGTTTGACGGTTATTATTACACTGTTACTGTTATTTTTACATAATAACCTGTACATTATCTCGTGTTACAGGTGACTAAATTGCAAATAATTGAGTAAGACCAAATTCATTGAAAATACCTGCTTAATTTGTAGTAAAAGAATAAAGATCCCGTAACTTTTGTTATACGTGTTCATTTATAACAAAATCTAAAATAATTATCAATGTTTCCACAAAAGCTACTCTGACTCCAATCAACGTAAATTTTACACACAAGACCGGATTCATATGCTATTTGATATTTTCACGAGTAATTTTTTGTTAGAATGATATTTAAATGTTCACGAAAATCTGATCGTTGGAGTCTTCGATGGGAATTCAAATTTGTTCCGTGCAAAAAATTATGCAGCCCAGAGGACTATATGATTTTTTATGAAGGTCCGGGGTTCTTATTACCAACAAAAATAATCTTAGTATGAAAGTTGATCGTAGGTTACTACATCAACTTGTACGAATAAATGTGGTCTTATTTTCTTAATGAGCCACAGAACGTTTGTGTAAGAAAAACATAACGTTTTTTACTCGATTACTTGGTGATATCAACTCTGAATATACTCATTCTGTCAAAAGAAACTTTTTGTTGTGAGTATATAAATATATTCAAAACAAATTCCTATAAACTTTCATGCACAAACTTTTATTTTATGAATGGACATGTGTAAAGATAGTAATTATGTATATCCCAATTGAGAGGCCCCTTACGTATTGTAATTGCGCGAAGACTTTGTTGTCGACAGCCAGTGAACGACACAATATCATCTAATTACCATGTGTCCATGTCCACGCTGTTATCAAATTCATTCTATACACTACTGGTATTTGAATCCAAGAACCGAGACTCGAACTTACAAACCACAATATAAAATATTGGAGAATAAACCTCAGACACATATTATGTCTCTGTAACACCGAGAATTCCTGTCTTTGTTAATGCAAAAGTGCGACAGATTTGCAATAATAAAAACTCGCATTCATAAATTCCAATCTGATTGAAATACAGATCTTGTGTCCAAGCTTTGCTTACAAGCATCTAACAACACTCCTTTCTAATTTCTCTTCTGGTAATTATAACTTCAGCAAATGAAATTTCATCCTTCAAAGTTTTTAATATGTGTATTAATTCGACGAAAGATGATCCCGGAAGGTCTATAAAACAGAAAGTAGAAAGGAGCGTTTTTAGATCCTTGTAAGAAAAGCTTGGACACAGGATCTGCATTTCAATCAGATTGAATAATGTCAATAATGATATTCTTTCATACAATTTTTGCAATCGCAGTTAGTAAGATTTTGCACTTTTGCCATTTGTCAAGGATTTGCAATATATACTGCAACCATTCCCTAAGGAAAATTACAATTTCCGAACAACCCGGTAGCTTGCACCAATCGAAAGTTGCTTGGATTAAACGCCCAGCTTTAGCTCTATGGTCTACGTTTTTTCACTTCACACATGTCATTTCAACGTTCGTTTTCCACCGTCGGCAAGCAAGTGACAATCAAGTACCTTTTCTTTTTCACTAGGAGAGCGGACCTCGAAGGAGACACCCTTGAGAAATTTAAATCTAAGGTAAACAAATGCCTAGTAACCAGCTATATTACAATTGTTTTGGTTGCAGTTTTCACTTGTGTGGATTTTATGGATATTACATACAAATTATAATTTTAATTGAGCCTGTTATTAAAATTCCTTTTTAAAGCCATATTAATCCGGTTTTTGTCGCAATACATCACGTTTAAACACGTATTCTGTTATTTATTCATCCTTTGCTTTATAATTTTGGCGTTTGATGGTTCAAGATTAAAGTAAATCGGATTCACCAATTTGTAAAATGTTATTTCATTTTCATTTTGGACCTTTTTGGTTATTTTAGGCCCTTAAAATGATGCTGAATATACAAAAGGGAGCAGCTGAAAGGGAGAATCGACGAGACAATGACAAATTTTAGGGATAAACCGAAAAACGACGAAATCACATACAACAGGATACTGTTTTTGTGTTGTTTTTTTGTTGTTGTTGATTTTCGACTATTTTGGTATCGAAAAATCGATGAAGAGAGAGTTATTGTGCGCATCTGGTGCAGTAAAATTGGAACCGTAAATCTTCTTTTCGTTTTAATGAAATTTCTTATGCTAAAGATGTCTGATATTTATCACATTCCTGGTTGCCTTGTATGGTTTTCTCTAGTTATAGAAGGATTTGTTCAGTTTATGAACACAATTACGGCCATCTTAATCGGTGGACATCCAGTCAGAATTGTCAACTGGTCACAGTTGTTTTCCCTCTGGCTAAAGCCCTCAAAAACGACAATTCTGGGTGTATACTTCTGACAAACGCCGAAATTGCTCATTGTTACTATTATATAAATACAGTGTCACACATCTGTCACAAAATATTTGGAAGAAAAGTTACCGAACGTTCGGTTATCTTATGATGGCAGTACTGTCACTTTGGTCCAGATATGCTAAAAATAATGTAAACTGGTATTGTCGCTTGATACTTAGAGAATATTTTCATTTTTTTAAAATAACTCACGTGAAGCACTTTCAAAATATAAACAAATATATGTCCTACATAAGGAAAAAAACTAATATATATTTAATTAAAGATTAGCCAAAGACTGCTCTAAAACACCCACTGAATAACATTTATTTTTAATCAGATTAAGGTTGTTATTTTATTTCCCATTAAACGAATCAAAATTTTGTACTTGGCTGGTTATTACAAGTTTGTTTGCTGTTAAATTATTTCCCCGTTTGAATGTTACAACTTTAAAGGAAAAAAATGGATGAATTATTTTAAGTAACTTAATTTGAAATAAAGCGTTGGTATAAATAGGGAAATCATTGTGATTCTGGTCAAGGTGCTGAAGCTGCACCATGGAGGGAATCAAATTAAATCTGTGCCTCCTGTGCATATTTTCTTGTGACGTCTTTGGTAAGCTAATTGTTTTTATTGTCCATATACCCATTGAACCCATTTTGGTTGATTGATATTAATTAATTTGAAAAAAAATCTAATTTTTAAACGGTGTTGTACAAAAAAAATGTTTTTTTTCAAACAAAAACTTTAAAATGTGTACCTTCCGTGAGTCTCAAACAGAAACAAAACTCGCATGGTTAATTATTAATTACCTAACCTCGCTTATCATGATTGCACGTTTTCGCCGGCTCATAATTAGAAAAACACGCTTAAGAATTACCAGTTACATGTTTTATATAACCCTTCTGTGAGGATAATCTAATATGCGCTTAATAATTTTGAGTCTTATCAAATAAGTGTGTAATACTGTCGTAATCATGTGTCAATTTGAAAAGATTCACTTGGGCTAGGGATTTTATTCGCTTAGAAATGTGGTCTTTATTTATAAGACATTCTACAATCTTATAAGTTCTAAAACAGAATAAAAACAAACTTCAAGGGAAAATGGAGTGGGAAACTATCTTCAATAACTTCCCTTTAAATACTTTTTTTGTTCTAAGTTCCTTTTTTCTATCATCATTATTATCACTTCATTATGTGAATTTGTTCACTAGGTCAGGCTTTTAATTGGTCCTGATCGTTCTAACATCTGAATGTAGCCTTCATTGGAATAGATTTTATAAGAAATTGTACGATAAGAAACGAAATGAATTTACATATTATTTAAAATTATACAAAAGCAGATTAACAACATGCTGTCGTATCCGTCTTCATCGTTTTCATGCATATATTGTAAGATTTTTTATAAAAATCAAAGAACTTTTGTGAGCACGTTCAAATACCCCTACCTCCAACCTTGCCACAGGGCAAACAAAATCTCATCAGATTCCATAGGTCAGGCTTTATTGGTCTTTATCGTTCTAGCATCTGAATGTAGCCTTCATCAGAATTAAAATTTTGTTTGTTTAAACGTAACAGCCAGGCAACGAAAAGTAATATATTATTTTATAAGTAATTTAAAAGTGTCTGAAATATCTAATAATTGTATGTAAGTATTACATTATATAGGATAATTACACTATAATTTAGGAATATTGTCCCGGGTCGAGTACTACTATTCACGAGGTGAACTTTGATATTCTGCAAAGGACAGCATTCTCAAATGTTTGTGCAATTACAACATGATTTCAAAGCATAACCATAAACACTTAGTTCAGTCCAGATTGCTTGCACAGCACTCGTTGAGCAATATTTTTTTTTATTTGAAGGGAATATATAAAATTGTTTTAGAATATTTTAAGCTTAAGATGTATACATTTTAATATTCAATTTCCAGTAGAATTTGACAACTTTTAGATTTTGAGCCTTTAAATGAATAAAGGGGAAATTGATCACTTTTTGCTTTGAATACAAATCTGTTTCGAGTAAAGAGTACTTGGTTAATGTGAATCAGGACGTTTCTTGAATAATCCAAATTTCTTGCGATATTCTAAATGTAACATTAAATGTAACAGCAGGTTTCTTTTCTTACCTAAGATCAACACAGATGACTGAAGTTAACTTTTTATATAAAATGATAGAGAGTATAGTCCTATTCAAAGTAGGAGATCAATCTAAAGATCAAAAATATTGAATCCTAAATCTTGCATTCAAGTATTTAAAAAGTAGTTTCGCATAATTCTAGTTTCAGTGTACAAGTTTTTTAACGTATTATATAGGAGCATACAATTTCCTAAAGTTTTGTTTAGCGTATCATCACAGGATATGACAATAAAACAATTAAAAAAATATTCCTACCATTCCATGTCATTTTTTAGTCCTCATTACAGTTGAGAAAACCTGATTTTAAAATCCTAAATCGTTCTTCGTTTAGTCTTGCGAGATGTGTGCTTTTTGTACCTCAGATCTGGAATAATTTCCCACAGGATTGCGTGAGTTTAAAACCGCAAAATCATTTTAAAATTCTTTGTTTGTTTGCATCATTAAAATGGTTTTGAGTTTAACGCTCAGCCGTCATAGATTTTAAAAGAAATTGTACGATAAGAAACGAAATGAATTTACATATTATTCAAAATCATATAAAAGCAGATTAACAACAATGCTGTCGTATCCGTCTTCATCGTTTTCATGCACATATTATAAGATTATTTTTTTTTAATTAAAGAACTTTTGTGAGCACGCTCAAATACCCCTACCTCCAACCTTGCCACAGGGCAAACAAAATCTAACATATTCCTAAGGTCAAAGACTTATAACTTCTAGAGAAGTCAACTGACAAAAAATTCTTGTGGATATGCACATCTACATATCATGTCCTCATTAACTACAAAGTTTCAAAAAAAATCTGTTGGTGTGGTTTCAGAGGAGTTGCGATGTGACAAACTGTTGCATTAGTATATGTAGCCCTAAGATCAAATGGGCATAACTCCTAGTAAAGAGATTTGTTATTTCCTATCGATATGCACATCCACATATTATGTCCTGATTATCTATCAAGTTTCCTGAAATTTTGTTGTGTGGTTTCAGAAGAGATGCGATGACAAATATGTAGGCCAAAATTCTAAGATCAAAGGGGCATGACTCCCAGAAAAAAATGAATCTTAATTTCCTGTCGATATGCACATCTACATAGTATGTTCTGATTATCTACAAAGTTTCATGAAATTCTGTTGTGTGGTTTGAGTGGAGTTGCGATGACAAGAATAGGACTGATGGGCGGATTGACGGACAAACGGACGGACGGACGGGTCAAAAACATTATACGGCAATAGGAGAAAAAAATGTTACCTTTAAAGGTGTCAGACAACCAATTCAAAACCTTTTACAATCAACCATTTTTTTTCTTCAATTTCACAGCTTTCTAGATATTTTACCTTAAGTTTAACTACTTCTTAGGAACCAGCTGATATATCCTGAATTGTAAATGAGCTGCTTAATATAGGTTAAGGTGATATATGGGATAATCAATGTTATTTTATAGAACATAAACTTTCCAGTGCTTTTTACTTGATAATTGAAAAGCACCTGTTGATTTTGACAGCAAACTGAGTACGTTAGTTACATGTTCCAAGTTATAGATATATGATCCAAATTTTTTTATACAATCTTTCTTATGTAAACCAGTTCCAGTTATTTACAAAACATGTATCATCAAAATAAGACTTAGTATTCATAATTTAGCTAAAGAAAATGGACCCTATTCTTCAATTTCTAGAAGAAATAGACTCTAGATTTTGAAGGGATGAACTTGAGTATGAGTTACATTTGAATTTAAAATATCACACATATCAAGGTCATAGAGTTTATTTTAATAAACCTTACTATTGGAGAAAACCATCTATGTATAAATATATAAAACTAATATGTACGTTTGTCTGCTATGTAATTTTCAAATTAAGATCTGACATGTTGTAATATGTTTCACACCACCTTCAAATGTTCAGTTTATATGTAGCATGCCTATAGTTTTTATGACTTTGGTAAATAAAGATTATTATAAATAAATTGATTTTGGATGTAACACGTCTTCTGATTGGCTGAGTGTTTTTTTGGCTATCAGCTCATAGACATAATTTTGTCATGTGACCGTGACGTCATCAACGTTTTTTTCATAATTTACTCCAAAAAATGGAATTTAGAATTAAATTATAAGAAATGACTAAAATAGTGTTTCTGTCTATCCGAAATAACCTAAAAATGTGATGCAAACTTTTAAATAACCCGCTACGCGAGTTATTCAGTGTGCACCACATTTTTTATGTTATTTCTTCATAGACAGAAAAAAATATTACAGTCATTCCTTAAATAATTTTATATTTCGAGACAATGTATATTAATTCTATATATATATAATGACGTCAAATATAAATTGTATAAAAACATTTCTCCTTTTTTTTCTCACTATTTTCACATTTCCCAACCAATTGTGAAAAAAATATATATTCTCCTCACTAGTGAAATATCTGTTATCGGCGAATGATTGGTCGAAATTTAATTTTGACGTCAGATTTTCTTAATTTCTTCTGAATTTCCTATTATGACGTAATGAAAGGCGACCGTGTCTGATGACGTCACATATAAAGAACACAAATTTCTGCAAATCTTTGAAAAAGAAGGATAAAATCATTAGAGAAACAGATTCCACTATAACTCTTATATTACGATATTTCTCTACTCTCAACATTAAATTTTAATTATCTAAAAAGCTCTGCAAGCCTTGCGCTTTGAATATTTAAATTTAACTGTCTCGAGTGTAGAAATATCGTAACACACTTGTTGCAGTGGTTGAATCTATATTTCTCTAATTCTTAACCTATTTATCCTGTTCCTGACCTGTTCATTATCATTATTCAATCAACGTATGGTCCGTTTAATCTAAGTTCTTCTTTGGTCAAAATTTAATAATGACGTCAACTTTTATGGCTTTTCTCTAAATTTCCTACTGTGATGTCACGAAAAAAGGCAACATGTCTGATGACGTTTCATAGAAAGAACTCATGTTCTTGCAGATCATTTGATTATAAGGATTACGTGTGTCTGCATATCGTCTGAAAGTCCTTAGAGAAACAGATTATACCACCAAATCTCGTGTAATACGTTATTTCTCGACTCTTGACAGTTAAAATTTAAATATTTAAAGAGCTCGTCAAGCCTCGCGTTTTAAATTTGAAAATTTAACTTGTCTCCAATGAAAAAATATCGTATCACACTCGATGCAGTGGTAGAACCTATATTTCTCTAATTCTTATGCAATTTAACTCTTTACGGACCCATTGTTTAAAATAAATATAATCAACATGTGGTTGCCTATGATCTCAGTAGATGATTGGCTTAATTAAAAGGTCCTAACCTTTACCAGCTCTCTATATTAATCGAAATGTCCTAACAGGTTTTAGAGAAATTGAAATCTTTATATTTGTATGATGTAAATATCCGGAATGTGAAAGGCACTCGAAGGGGATTTTCGTTTATCAAAAATAAAAATGTATTTGATAATCATCAATGAAACATATTCTATATAGTTACTTATGGACTATCGTATTTATCCAATCTTTATAATTTAACTATCTCGATTGGATAAATCCGATAATCCACTGGTACCAATGTAAGAATCCATATGACCATCAGGAACGTATCCGTTTTCCGTTCAGGATAGATTTGAAAAGAAAATTGTAAAAATTCCAATTTTTCAACCGGATTTCATAGTGTTCAGGTTTCAGACAAGAGGCCAATGATGCTGGCTATATCATCATTAAAGATTAAACTGTTAAATTTTTAAATGAGATTGTATAGCGTTATTACACCATGTAAAACAGCAAATTTCCTAAATAATAAGATTCAAAGTTACTAGTAGTCTTTAAGTTTGAATTTTAAAAAAAAAGTAATGCTAAAACACTGGTCTTATAATGAAATCGTATAATAAATATGCTTTAAAACCAATTATAAGTTCAAAATATTTTTTAAAAATGTGCATTTGAAATTTTGTGCAATCCTGAAAAATCTACACATGAAAGACAAAAACCTTTTAGAACGATTTGGAATAAAAAAAAATCTTGTTTCCAAAAAATAATTTACTTTTAGTTGAGAGCAAGTATTAACAAAAATCAAAACCCTGACCACATGCACACCTTCAATATATGTACAAACAGCCAGCAAAGTGAAAACTTCCTAGCATTCAAATTGTAGGAGGAGTTATCTGGAATAACTACACACCCATAATGGGACGAACAGACGGACGGACAGGGATAAATAATATGCCCCCCCCCCCCCCCAACTTTCAGTTGCGGGGGCATACAAATATTTGACTGACAATCAAAATCAGATTTAAACCTTAAATTTGATCAAAACTGAAAATGAAAAGGAACATTTATTGCTCAAGTTAATCATTTATATAGAAGTATTAGTTTATTAAATAACTGAATAGTATGTCACTGTCGACTGGAACTATGACATAACTTTTAGTCTTAGTTGTCGAACACTTGGGTTGATTGTTTGAACAAAAATGGCAAATCTAACGGTTGTTTCTTTGAACAATGGTTTTGATTTCTACTGAAAACAATAAACGGAAACTCGTAATGAAAATATTATATTTATTTTCCGAATCGATAACATTCTTTCTCTCGTTATCATCAGTTGTTTTTTGTTTGCGAATCGTAAAATTGAAAAGTAACAACTATAACTTCATCCAATCAAATGCTCCATGCCAAAATAAAAAAATACTGTGAACTAAGTTAAAGAAAAAATGCAGTATTTCTTTTCAAGAAAACATAGAAGGCGACACGCAATCCTATGAGAATCATTAAGAAAAAAATCACGTTTTGTATCTATAATGGTCACATTCCAATATATCATATATATTTGAAACTTAATCTTTAGTCCAGTAAAATAAAAGAATGTTATTGCTAAGTTCATTTTATTTTTGAAAAAGTATAATTTTGTTGATTTTTAATCAAAACTGATCGTGAAAGATCATTCAATGCATTCTTTTGATCGTGAAAGACAAGGCGTGACCAGACTTGCTGATCAGAAAACAAAATTTCTTTTACCAATTCATATCCTTGTAATTAATTGAAGCGTGTAATTACTTACTAAGAACGTAAATCAATGCTTTCCTTTTTTAGGTGATAAATATATATATATATATATATACTTATATTTAGACCTGTTTTCATTTGAGAAGCAATGCTAGATGTAACTAGGCATCCAAGATAATAAGACTTCCAGGAGCGTAAATTGTCGAAAAGTAAATATCTATGTATATACAATGCTAAATTCATCCACGAATTAGTGAAGCGATAGGGAGTCTGATGTTCTTCCCCTGGAAATATATTAATGCGTACGTAAATTGTTTTCGTAAGTGCTAGATAAAAGAAGCTATATCATTTAAATTTACCTACAGGTGAACTGAATATGTTCTTTCCATTAGCAATATAAACTTTTCTGATTGGGTCCCATTTATAGTCATGAACTAGAGATTATAGACACCACATATACAGCTTCCTCTGCCTCATTTTTAGACATATACTCCGAATTTGACTACAACGGTCATCTCAATCCCAGAGTCTATGACAAACGAGATGATTTCAATTTTGAAAATATAAAGTTTCCCATGCAACCTTACGAGTGATTTACCAACTTCATCTGCGTAAGGAGTATACATTTCTTAAGTCATACTGCAGCTGCTACTCAGAGTTTGTAAAACGTTTTCAGTGCTTGAGCAAAAAAATAATGAGCCAGGGTTTTGTGAAAGAACGTCTAGTCCTTTTTTCAAAAAGTTCTTTGGAAAGTACCAAGACCTAATAGATAAATATTCAGAGTCTACTTAACACATAATGCAGTATGGTCTTGACTTGTAGGTTCTAGGTGCTGACTTTGTATAACATTTTATCTACATTACAGTTTTACATTTATTTGCCTTTGTACTATTATAATCCATTTGATCGTATGCCTCTTAACGTGGTTCGGTATATGTGCATCCAACTTTCAGGTTTTGGGCTTTTGGCGTTCCTTGTGCGGTTAGGTCCAGAGATACAATTCGGACACATGAGGTTTTTATAGTGTTGTTTTCATTTTGTATTTATATTTTACTTATTTTGTATTTTATCGGGAAAGTGAATATGTCATTATGTAAGGAGCCCTTAAGTGCCATGTAAATACAAATATTTTCGGTTGCCGAAGATATAATCAAGTGCGCACTAGTTTGAAAAATCGTGCGCACCACAATTAAAAACTGATGCGAACAACTTTCAAAAACTGTTGCGCACGACTTGTAAACTGGTGCTCACGACTTTCAAACGGTCCTAAAACGGTAATAATGTTCTCCTGTATGTTATTGGAAAATAGTGCTTGTTTTTTATCAAATTTATAAAAAAAATAGTTTGTCGCACGAAGATGAATGGTCGGTATCTTGAGAAAACCGTTCTAATGATTTTGAGAATTTTGAAATTCTAAAGATGTCACGATTTTTACGCAGACTAAAACAGCACAACAATAGGCGAAACAAGGATTATGAATATGTTGGATTGATAGATTGTTGTTGGCTTAACGTCCAGTGGCAAATAGTTCGTGCATGTTTAGGACGAGAACAAATTAGCTATAAATGCAATAGGTATGTTGTGTGATAGAGGCCGTCGGGGAAATTTAGACTGCCATTGCAAAATGAGTATATTGGATAGGGACAGAAATTTGTCTGGCAATAGGACACCTCCGGACCCCTGAACGAGTTGTTTCAAAGGTTCTTAACATGCATAGAGAGTGACACTCTCTCTCCACGAGGCATCGGATTAATGTTCCCATTCTGACCGGACGTGGCCGAGTACTTGTACATCCCGCATAGCCGAACTAACGCCCCACTTTGGCAAGGAGTTTACTACCGATCGGAAAAAAAGACATAAGTTACCATATTTTTATTCGGCAATCACCCTTTAGGTGATTTTGGAAATAAACATTCTGGACAGGTACTAACTGTAAAAAAAATAAAATTGTCCAAAACAGCATCAAAATGAATATTTTGTCCTACAAAATGCAAGAGGTAACATCAGGTAACTACTCTTTAGTATTACACCCGAGTTTTAGGAACTATGCGAAGCAAACGAATCAAATAGAGTGACAAAAATAGTAATTAAAGCCCCATAAAACATCTAAAATAAAAACATTAAAAAAACAAACGTAGAATAAACCCCGAAGTTATGATACGTCTATGAATCTTATAAATTTGATAGCATGTAAAACTTTTAAACATTTATTTTTCAGCTCTTTCAAATGGTTTCATACACAACGCATATGGCTCAGCTTATGCAGGTATGTTATACTTTTATTAATTTTTCTAAATCCTCGTACAAAGTTTGAAGGCGTGTTTAAGTTTGTTTACATCGTAACCATTTTATCCATGCGAAATGAGCTAAAAGAAACTTCTTCGTTTAGTCAGCAAAATGTTTTACGTCTACGTGCCCTTAAAGCTTGTGGCAAGTTTATTTTTGATATACGTATGGTGTTGATGCAATAACGAAGATCAAAATAATGTATAGAGTTTGACAGAAAATTTGCCATTTATTCCATTTATCTGAGAATCTTGTAAGGCAGCTACCGTTTGAGTATTATGGGGGCTAGGATGAAATTTGAAAAAAAGGCCGGACAGGAGTTTTGAGTTAAAAAAAGGCAGGATGAGCAACTTTGCAAAAAAAAAAAGGCAGGGTGACAATTTATTAAAAACAGTCAGGATAAACTAATAAAAAAAATGCAGGACCGAATAGAGTGAAAAATAAAAAGGCAGGACAGAGATTACAACTAAAAAAAATGCAGGACAAAATACCCCCCCCCCCCCCCCCCCCCCTTGCATAAAAATCAAATGGTAGCTCCCTAAATGATAAATCTTTGATACTTAATAACTTTCTGTGGTTCGAAGAACATAATGTTGTATTCTTGAACATGCTTCATACTGGCCATATTTCATGCTGACCATACATTTTTAATCTATAAATTTAAACTTAAAAAATCTTTTTTGTTGGAAAAATAAATTCAAGGCTTATGCTGTTGTCATAGATATAAGCATAAATTATCATTTTCTTTTATAATCAACAAACTTGTGCCGCAATCATAAATGCATTTTATGTCAAATAATCAGTCAAAAAATTTAAATCATGGTCGTTTTATTTTACAAACGAAGCTTCTTGGTGAGTAATTTTGAAAAAAATTCTGGCGTCAACTGAAACATTATAGGTGTAGTTTAAAAGGGCATTAGCTCTCGCATTCATAGTCATCGATTTGATCCAAATTCTATTTCGTTATTGCGAAAGAAATGATACTTTTCCACAGCTTCACTTGAAGGTTACCTGTCGATTTAAACTTTTGTAAGTTCTTTTGTCCCATCTAATAAATACAATAGCTATTGTTCTCTGTGGAGTTTATTCAATGGGACCTTTAAAATTCTTCTAAGAGAAATCCATCATCATTGATTAATTTACATCATCATTGATTAATTTACATCATCATTGATTAATTTACATCATCATTGATTAATTTACATCATCATTGATTAATTTACCTGAACAAAAGATTTAACTTTCAATGATGAAAATACATGTACCAATACTAAATAAGGACACACAAAACTGCATGTGGTGTTGTATTTTTTCAATATCATCAATACATTTTCAATTTGTTCAATATAAACACTGATACAAAAATTAAAAGTTGATTTCTGACAAAATTTTCAATACTTTAAATTCAGAAATTATTGCGAAAAATGCGACAGGGTTATAATCGCAATAATTTAAACTCGCATTTTGAAATTTTTTATTTAAATTAAACAGGATTTTTCTCAATATCGCAAAAATTAAATCGCATTTTAGTCTAAAATGACAAAGTCGCAATAATAAATGCACACAATAATTTCTGAATTTACAGTATTGAAATATAGTTTTTTTTTGTGTGTTTGACAAATAAAAACTGGAAAATGATGATGTTTAAATTAAGGCCTTCTTAAATGTATTCTATAACTGAACAATCACAAAAAACAGATTGAAAATATATTATTGATATTGAATAAATTCAACATCACATGCAGTTTTGTAGTTTATACATGTATTTCAATCAACAAAGAAGATATTTTTTTTGGTCAGGTAATTTAATTAATGAATGATAGATTTCTAGAATTTTAAAGGTCCCTGTGAATAAACTACACAGAGAACAATAGCTATTGTATTTATTAAATGGGACAAGTGAACTGACAAAAGTTTAAATACCTTGACTAAGTGGAGATGACTCTGTGGAAAACTTTCATTTGGTTCGCAATAAAACGGTCATACTATTGATTGTTGGTTGCTTAACGTCCAGTGGAACGGTCATAATAAAATGTATATCCAAATTACAAAATGTCCAAAGAACAAATAACAATGCATGGACTCGTTATAACGTGCCTTCGATTCGTGCGTATTTCAGACTACACGACATCTAGTTATCCACCTAGATTACCTCCAAAGACTGCCGATGGTATAGATATAACACAATATAAACCTAAATATAAATGTTCTGGACCATATGAGTATTTGGAACATACGCGTATGGTCCGGTTAATTAACACGATGAACATTTAAAAGGTGTCCCATAAATCAAGAGTTTCTGAAAATGAAACGTTTACTTATTCAATCACTCTGTAATCATGGTTACATGATTAATGAGATAAAGTGAATTTTACCTACAAATAAGATTTAAAGTGAAATCAGTTTTACATGGTCATTATTGATTTGTCCTTACATTTGTACGAAACGCAGCGTGACGACTTGTGAAAATAACTTCAAGAAATATCTAAATGAACTGTTAAGAAGTCAATTGCTTAACTCACAGGAGTTTTAGTCATTGAACCCTCTTTCTTTTCTTTTTTTAAATTTCTTTTGGTGTTTTTATTAAATTATTATTATTCAAATATTTCAAATTGTTTTTACTTATTTAATATATTCTTGCTCCTATATTTATACGATCTTACAGAAACACAGAAATCGTATGAAAAGGAGAAATAACACAGTAATTAAATGAAATAAGTTGAGATAAGAAGAAATTTTGTTTCTGAAATAATGATTTAAGGTAGCTAGGGTGGGTTCCTCTATCTTGGATTTTGAAATAGCAGATAACAATCGGTCTGTATCTTTAATGAAATGTGCAAATTTCGAGAGTAGTATGTAATTCATGTGTAAGACTTTTCGTGTAACTATCGAAAATTATGTGTTTTATCATATTTACGGCTGTATTTTACAAAAAACGGAATATTTGTGTTTGATTCATTTATTTTCCAACTTTGCCACATACGGGGAGATAACTCAGATAGATGGGGAGATAACTCAGATAAAATAACCTTTATAATAGAATGTGTTGTGAATTTACCTATTTTATTATATAGCAAAAAAACGAGTCCGGTGACCCCATTTTTTCTTTTTCTTATCTGAAAGCATATTATAAGGACTATCTTCTCATATTTTATCTTACAATTCTATGGTGTAGTTTTCTTTTATCACGCAAAGTTGTGTTTTCCATGAATAATCTATATAAAATATGACAATTTTGCACAACCTGTTGCGTTAATAAGAGCCCGGTGATCCATACTTTTTATTATATTTTTGAAAAAGCATGATATAAACTACATTTTGATAAATTATCAAAAAAATCTATGGATATTAATGAAGACCCCCTATCCACCTTAAACAAAACAAAAAGAGTGAAAAAAGTCCATGTCCAAAACGCCTGTGGTTTCACTTGCGGACGAAAAGATCGACAAAAAGGTCGACAAGATAAAAAATCTCGAAATTGTTTCTAGCGAAGGCAAGATAACAGATACACCAAGACAATATGTAAGATTAAGGAATCAGTAACTCATGACGATTTTGGTTCGGAGAATGAGCTGTGTTCTCCTGCAAAGGAAGTTAGCATTTATTTGAAAACTACCTATATGGTCTAAATACTCATATGGTCCGCCCTGTTGATAACCAAACGAGTATAATACTCATATGGTACGACCATACTCATATGGTCCGACCATACGCGTATAGTCGGACCATATGGGTATACGCACATGGTCATGACCATACGCGTATGGTCCAAATACTCATATGGTCTGAAACATAAATAAAGTCAAACAAGCACGTGCAATCGTATACTGCCGATTTTTCTAGGACAGTTTGATTTCATGTTATAGATTAAAAATAGATTTAAATCATCTTTTTACCTGTATAAGAATAATTTTGTGGGCCGGATCAGTCAACGAAATGCTCCCTTGTTTCGCTTTTCAATGTTTACATTCTTTTCTTTTGGATGAATGAACACACCGACCACATGCTTAACACATGCGCAACCCATCTCCACTAAAGTTCAAATTTAAGGCTACATGAATATAGATTCAAATGATGTTTAGTTATTGACTTGCTAGCCAATAATACATCAGCGATGTTTTTTTATCTGATTTTGACGAAATTGTACCAAACTGACTACTAAAAGAAAGCGAGATATTATTTCTATATTCTGCTTTAATAAATGATTGAAACAGAACAAAATCATGTTTTGTTTTTTAATCTAATTCGGAGCTAATGCCATTTGAAGGATTAAGGATAAATAATAATCTTTATTGTCATATAAGCAAATTAAAACATGTTTGTGACAAACTGAAAAAAAACCAAAATACACTCATATATAATATATATATATATATATCAATTGTTATAAAGTATATAAGATAGTGACAAAACAAAATACAAATTACAACATATATACAACAAATCTTTTAACCATCAGTTAATCAACAGTCCCTTGTCCTCAGTTCCATTGACTGTTTTAAAAAGGAACATAGATTTTGTGCCTGTTTATTTTTGGATTGAGTATATATTGTATTTTTTTTTGTTAGTGCAACTCATAAAGTCAGTATTTTGTGAATCAATTTCAGAGAAGTAAATCGGGAATATAAAGCAAATATAATCTTCCTAGCTTTCTGGGCTAGATCATTAATTCTAGAGTTAAAATTACCATTTCTACTAAGAACTGACCCAAGAAATTTATATTCTTTAACATTGTCAATCATTTGAATTTTATATTCAATAAATGGTTTTTCTATTTTGCAGTTTTTTTCTGAAATAACATAGATTGTTGTCTTCATTATGTTTACTGTTAAATGCCATTTATCACAGATATTTAATTGGGATAATTTATTCATACTATTTTGGAGCCCATCTTTAGTAAAGTAAAATTATGTCATCTGCAAAGAGAAGACTATTCATATCTGAATCAACTAGTTTAGGTGGTCTACATTGTTCATCTAA